CTATTGACTATGTAAAACTTCGGAAGCCCTATGTGATAAACGACCTGAAACGGCAGTATGACTTGGTAAGATTCCCGTTGAATGCCTTTTCGTACACATTCTAATTTTTAATTATTTTTAGCTGGATCGCCGAAAGGTGTTCCGCACCTTAGCCAAAGAAGGCATTGAACACCCTCGACATGGTGTTTTAATGCGAAGCGACTCGACTGAAGAGGGTAAGCGGGGATTTTATAGGAAATAAAGTTTTTTGAAAAATACGAATCAAAAATAATGTCTACTTGCAGATGGCATACTAGTGGAACACAATGACCACATAGAAGTTAATGGTATGGTGTTCAATAAACCATTTGTTGAGAAACCGGTATCAGCTGAAGACCACAACATTTACATCTACTATCCAAGTTCGGTTGGTGGAGGATCACAACGGTTATTCAGGAAGGTTCGTTATGATGAAATTTACTCAATAGTTTTTGGATTTTTCTTGTTTTTCTTGACTTTTTTTAACTTATTTTGCTTTTCTCATTAACAAGCTCTTAAATTAGCTAATTTTTACTTTTCTTTTTGGCCTCGATAATCACCCCCTATTCGATCGTAATTCAGAAAAAAAGGTTTATGTTTTAGGGAACTATAACGGTTAATGGAAGGTGTGTAAAATCACCGCGTGTGAGTAGACAGTTTAGGATATTTCGCTTGAAGTACTAACATCCCACCCTTTGAAAACCGTTGATTGTTGTTGTAAATATGACTTCCTTCCTTCACTAGCAGGCTTGCGGTGTTTCGTGTGATCTAACGTTGCAAAGGATAAAATGTCAGTAATATAAATCTTTGGTTTTTGACTTCTTAGCTAGAAAAATTTTTCTCATTCTTAAGTAACAAGTTGCAAAGTTTTTCTGATCTATGATATGTTCAAGCGCACCGTAGTAGTAAATTTCTTCTAACAAAAACAAAAAGGACGTAAAAGCGCTGCAAAGGCGCGTTTGTTTGCCTTTAGTTAAACAAAGAACTGGTATCCTTAACGATTTTGTAATTGCACTAATTGTTGTTTTCAATGCATCAAGGAAGTGTCTAGGCAGATGTAGAGTACTAAACTAGTGTTAAGATGTCTCGTGTTTGATTGAGAAAGTTATAGTGTTTGGTCTAGTGATCATCCCCCATAAAATGCATTGCGTAGGTTGAGTATCAAAAAATGATATATAATGATAATAGATATTAATAAAAGGAACTTATTTGAAATAAAAATAAAACACAGCGATAATTCTGCTTCTTTTCTTCTATAATTCAACATTTGCTATTTTGGAAGCGTTATTGCTAAAGATATGGTTTCAGATCAACAATCGTAGTAGTTGGTACTCACCAGTCAGTGAAGTACGCAAGGATGGCTCCTATATTTATGAAGATTTCATCCCAGCTGATGGTACGGATGTAAAGGTTGGCTATTTAGTCTCAATTTTCTGGAGCTACCTTGCTATTTGAGCTTTTCGATCTTTGGCCTTCATAAATTTTTTCCTCACAATGTCGAGAAGTAATCTATTTTTTTGAAGGTTTATGCTGTTGGGCCATATTATGCGCATGCGGAAGCCCGAAAAGCACCTGGCCTTGATGGAAAGGTTGAGCGAGATGCAGATGGCAAAGAAGTCCGATATCCGGTTATTCTTAGTCACAAAGAGAAGATGATTGCTAGGCGGGTAGTGCTAGCTTTTGGGGTGAGTGATTACATGAATATTTTCACCAATACAGATAATTTTTAAAAAATTCGCAGGGTCATGTTTCTTTTTTTCCTATAGATTCTCGCGAAGTCCATTTTTACAGCAAAATAACTTACATTTGAGATATGAGCTGACTTTAAATGTCTCACTTCAGCAAACCGTATGCGGATTTGACTTGCTTCGAGCCAATGGCAAATCCTACGTTTGTGATGTTAACGGGTTTTCTTTTGTGAAGACTTCTACCAAATATTACGAGGTACGTTTCTCTGCCAGTTTGTCTGAATCATATTGAATCTGTTTATCTCCAGGATACCGCTAAGATTCTCGGAAATACGATAATGCGCCGATTAGCAACAACTATGAGTGTTAGGATACCTTATCAATTACCCTTAGGCGAGCAGGAAGCGCCGCCACTATTGGATCTCGGTTTGGGAGGTTGGTTTATTGTGGTTTTCTCCTCGTTATTGTGTTCACTGTATGAAAATTGTTATAGATGACCCTCCATTTGTATCAACTCCATCAGGAAAGCTTATGGAGCTCCGATGTGTATTAGCAGTCATCAGACATGGCGATCGTACCCCAAAACAGAAAATGAAGGTAACTTTTATATCACTTAAGCAGTCTAATTCCCTTACAATCTACAAAATCTTGTTATTTTGAGGTGGTCGTACATGATGAACGGTTTTTTGCTCTCTTCAAGAAGTACGATGGATTCAAGAAGAATGAGATCAAGATGAAACGGCCAAATCAACTTATGGAGGTGCTCGAGCTGGCTCGACAAATTCTTGCTGAACATATCGTTAGTTTTATGTGGTTTCACGGTTTTCTTTGGGTTATCATCATAGAAAAAAACGATCTAAAAAATT